ACTGAAGCAGTCAACTCTAATGTCACCAATTGTACTGTGTATCCGTCTCAACCAAGGACAAGGATACATCAACAGGTATGTTTATGTTCAGGTTAAGGCATTATTATTTTATAGTTTCTTATGTGCCTTTTTCAGTTACTTTTATTATATCCAAACTGCCGTACATGTAACTGTTGTTATACTCCAAACCAACTGAAGTTTGGGAGGGGGATATCATGTCCGTATGTTCATCGGTGTATCAGTCTGTCTATGCAATCCTGCCTGGGCCATTACTTTTTAATGTAGAAAAATTGTAAGGGTAATAATTTACGCAAGATTGCTTATGATGTAAAGATCTCTCATGACCTTATTAAAGGTCATTTAGGCATTTCAAGGTCACTTGTAGAATGCAAAATTCGTGCCCAGTCCATAATGTCCAATGAAGAAACACTGGAAGTTCATGCTTATACAAAGATTGCTTATGACCTACGAGCGGTCATTTGGTCCAGTTCAAGGTCACTTGTTGTTATCGGCCGCAGCAGCGGCCGATCTATTTGTGGTTGTGTTTGAATGTGCACTTGGGGGAAAATGAGACGTTATTTTTTATTCTTCGTTGGAATAATTCCTTATTGATAACAAACATAAAAGCCTTAAAAATTGCTTAAAACGAAGTATAAATATTTTGTTATAATACTGTATCAATTTGTTTTTCATTTCTCGTCAGATATTTCTTAATTTAATGATTTTACAAAAAAGTTGTTTCATAAACTGCTTCCTAACATGGGCGTGCGTGAGATATTAAACGAAAACGTATTGAGTTTCCGGTTATGAATTACAGGGCTTAAAATAATTAATAAATTGGAATAAGAACTGAATTTTGTTTTGAATTTGTACTACAGTTGCAAGTGACAATGACATTTTTTTCTGCATTTCACATACATATCTATCACATCACTGATCGGCATTATAAAGGTGACAAAAATCCAGGATATCAGCACGTGAAGCTTGTGTCCTTTTTGTCAACATTCAGACAATTCATTCAAAATCAATTATTTCAGATATTTGTTGCATTTGTCCTTGAATCAAATAATCTGATGATAATACATTCCTATCCTTTATTGCAGTCCGATTTTCATATTAATGAATTTATTTTTATTTGAATAAAATATTTAACAATTGATCACTGAAAACTAGTGTAAAAAATGCACAGAAAAGTAAAGCAAGTGTAAAAATGTATCATATACATGTACTTTTTCTACTTGAATTTTTTCTTTGGACTCTTTCTTGTGGAACTGCTTCAAAATGACATATATTTTTGCGGCCGATTTGATACTTTGCATCAATTTAGCTTGTATTATCCTGTTCCAGCCATATTTTGCAATGGAGAAACGTTGAAAGCTCATTTCATACAAAGATTGGTTATGACCCAAGCAAGTTTCCTGACCATGACCCAATCGTTAGGCATGCCATATGGTAGGATTCATTTTTGTACGAATCCGATGTCAACTTCCTCTTTATCCGTGCGTCTGTCCGTACCATACATAACAAATTTTCGTCACAGTTTTTTTCAGCAACTGCTCATCGCAGATGCTGGAATTTTTAGCACACGTACTCCTTGTTTAGTATGCCATATGGTGGGATTCATTTTTGTATTAATCCGATGTTAACTTCCTGTTTATCAGTGCGTCTGTCCGTACCATACATAACAATTTTTCGTTACAGTTTTCTCAGCAACTGCTCATTGCAGATGCTTGAAATTTTAGCACACTCTTTATTAAAGCATGCATGCAATATGATGGTGTTCATTTTAGTATGAATCTGATATCTCTGTGTCTGTCCGTAACTGAACTTGTGTTTATTCATATCAGAGTGTATATTCACATCAGAGCGGGGGTATTACTAGTGAGCGTTGGCTCACAGACTTCTTTTTATATTTCGTCTTTTGTAGACTGATTGCACAAATGTGCATCCACAACTGACCTTGAATATACTGAGATCAGGACAGACTCTACCATGGACGTCCATCCAGCAGCAATATCAGGAGACTGTACTGCAAAAGCAAATCGAATACAACGATCAGTCTACTGTACAACAGCTGGTCTTAAACAGCCAGGGAAATATCCATCGCTCAGCTCACAATGCTTTTGCTGTCCACGTTCTAAACCCGACTTTGACACAGGCAGAGCTACAACAGCCAATCTCTGCAAATGAACTTGTAAGTACTTATATCCAATGTTCAAGAAACATGATGTTCTGTTTATTTCATTTTCAAATATAAAAAGTTTTGATTGGACATTGATGTACAATGAATTTCCTCATTAACTCACACTTTTTGACCCCACTTTCACTAAATGTGGGGGGTATTAATTCAGTCTATCTGTTCATCTGTCTGTGTGCAATTCTTTAGTTTTTGATATCTCATCCTTAAACTATTGCTATAAATTTTATATCATTACTCATATGACTTGAAAAATGTATCAATTTTGAGGGCAAAAGGTCAAGGGTCATGATATGAAATTCATATAATGCATGAAATGGTTTACAGATCATAAATTTTGTTTTCTTTGAGCTTTGGACTTTTGGATAGGAACTGTACACCATATTCATAACTCCTCATGACTGAAGGAAAACTTATTTCGTAGTCAAATTGTCAAAGGTCAGGGTCAGAAAATAGCTTAAGTTTTCAGTGAGTTTTTGCGATGAAATATTATATCATAAATATCTATGGCTTAAAAAGATCACTCTTGATTTTGAGGTTGAAAGGTCATGGCCAGAAATGCACACATTGCAGAAAATGATTTCCAAATAATAATTTTAGATCTCTTTGAGGTTTTGCAACAAAATATCATCGCTCCTTATCGTCCAAAGAAGGACCTTATTAATTTTGAGGTCAAATGTCAAAGGCCAAGGTTAGAAATTCATATATTGCATAAAGCAGTTTCCAGATAACTTATGCTGAACTTCTTGCAATGAAATCTAAGATTATAACTTTTTTTTCTCAGGCCAAAAGGTAAAAAGTCAAGGTTAATCAATCTTTTCCCTCTCCATCTGATTTGTATGGTCTTGACTTCAACCCTCTTATCTTGTCTTGAAACAAGGGACCAAAATTCCCTGAATTAGCTTGTTATATCTTTACACAAGTACTGATGACACTCCCTTCTGCATTAAAAATGTATCATATTGAAAACTTACTCTAAATATACAGTTTATTTGGAATTATCTTGAATTTCCACCAAAAACAGACCAATTATCTGAAGGTCTCCAACTTTAAATACAAAGTCTGGCTTAAAAGTAAAACTACAGTAAAGTAAATGTACAAAATAAAAATTAGTAAAATATTATATATACCAATATTAGCAACGCACTACTATCATTATATAGTGCCTATTCTTTGTTCATTCCGGTCTTTAGATTATAAAAAAATATACTTCTTAATGTTTGACATAGCCACATTTATAGCGAAATAACACCGTACCATGACATAATCTTAATTCTTCTAAGAAATCTGAATCTCTTTTGTCTCGAAAGGGGGCCAGGAGAACGCTGCATGAAAAAGTAATCCCTATTTCTCAGACATGCTGCCACCCCGCAAGACACAGAAACCGCCACCCCGAGCGTCGCAACGAGTTTGAAGCCTAAATTGGCTTAATTAGTAAAATATATTGACTTATAAAGTAGGATTGAAGTTTAATTCTATCGTTTTACTTTATAACAGTTTAAGATATAAGGAAAAAAACCCTTCTGAGGTCAATTTTGAAACAGAATATTGTGTCAAAAGTCGAAAACGTTGATACCCCGAAAAGTGAGGAGGAGTGTTTGAGAAAACGGAGCACTCTTATAGGCTGCTTTAAACGGTCAGAGGTAGGTTGATATTTGCTTTCTTCCGTAGAATACAATTTTCTGATCTAACACGTCTAAACATATGAAAAAAATTCAGGTTTATTCGCCGTGTTGATGTTTTCCTCGCCTCGGTGCCGCCACCCCGAGTCACGCATTGCCGCCACCCCGAATGTACCGTTCTAACCGGTGATCCATGGAGTCAGTAGTAACTATGAGGGCACATGCTCATCTGTGGTGACACACAAACCTAATGTGACAACTGGACTATCAGCTGATTATTCCCAGCCATCTGATCAGATTGTAAGTCTCTGGTTTTAGTTTTGTGTATCTCTTTAGTGTTTTTTGTGCTGAAAGTCGGTGACATTTTTTGACAAAAAAGTACATAATTTAATTTTTTTTAATCAGAAATCATGGAGTCTGAGCCCACAGATTGTACCTACATTTGTTGCACCAATGGAGGCACAAACAAAGACCAAAACAAACAAGTCAAAGAGAAGGACACCTAAAAGTGTTTCTCAAGGACCATATGCAAATGCAGACATTGGCCAACATATAACTTCCAACAGCTCAATGACTAAAGGGAGTAGAAATTTGGCTAAAATAGATGTGAGACCAAAACAGCAGAGCACTGGAAAGCAAATGGTTCCAACCTTGCACCAGACTGAGAGTGATAATTCTACCAGGCCTGCCCCAGCATCTGTAAATAAGAAAAAGGGCAAGGTACAAAGAAAATTTACAAATGAATCTGTTTTAAATTGGTTAGAATTTTTCTGATTGTTAAAAGATTTATTCAATGAATTTGTAATTTCCTCTTTATTTTCTAGGAGGGAGTCAAACGCATTGTTGTTCCATCCAAAGTTCAAACAGACCCAGTGGAATATCCTCCATATGTTGCCAGAATTATGAGGATCCTGAACAGGCAAAAACAGGTAGGTGTGATAAATACCTAAAACAATGGAAATATTTAATATAAATAATGGTCATAGTAAAAAAAGAAAAAAATCAGAATTTTAAATAAGCGTATGTTGGATGCTTTCAGGGTCAGATGGAAGCTAATGATAATAAAAAGGAAAGTGTTGATTCCACATCCAAGCAAATAGCCCCTTCTGATAGAAATGATAAGGATAGAGCTGATTCTACTCCTAAACAAGCTACTACTGCTGACAAAAGGCAACAAACACTGTGGATTCAAGTCTTAAACAAAAGGATCCACAAAGTGTTGTATCAAAAACTCCTGTCCCATCAAAGCAGTCCGCACTGGAACAAAAGGTAATGTATAGAGAACATAATTTGACAGTGTGTGAAATAACATAAAATATTTCAAATATGTTGAATGAAAATAAGTAATTTGTTTTAAATAATTTCAGCACAAGACTTCGTCTGGTAGTGTTGTTCAGAAGTTCAATGAGAAATGTAAACAATTGAAATCTGGGTCCAAAAAAGAGCCAATGTCTATCAAAAAGGTATTAGGTAGCCTTATGGATTTTATTGAAACAAGTTATGAAAGTATATTTGACCTGAGAAAAGATTTAACTGCAAATGTGCTTACATTTTGCATTGGCTTTACCTTTATCATTTAATAATCAATTATTCTAAAAAATTTCATCTTAGATTAACATACATTATGAAATATGCTTAACAGACACTCCCAGAGGACTACAGACCAGTGGTTAACACAACCCTGTTACTAGATGACTTGTCACCTGACAGTTTTACACTGTTTAAAGCAGACAATTTCTATGGACCACAGATTCTTGTCACTTCTGACTCTCACTGCTTTGTGGTGTCTGTGCCTTTCTTCTAACTGGACAATAGAGACTTCTGAATGTGGAGATAGTGCACATTTAGTGAAGGAACATTCTCTTAGTGAACTACAACCACAGTCTTTCATTAAAGCTTCTGTGATATTTATTTTGAAAGTACTTTTGACTTTTGAAAAATACTTTTTAGGCTGATTTTATATTTGTGTATTGTGTTTTGGAGCTTTTCCATTTATTTTTTGTTATCATGTGCCAAATGAATCGTAAATTTTGAGTCACTCTAATAGTATCATGATTTTTTTTTAGATTTTTTAAAAATAAATGCATGTTTGAAAATCACTTCTGTGGATTATTATTATTTTTGCTGATAAAATTAATTCCTTGCTTTTGATTTGTCTTACACCGGAAGAAAAATATTCAGAAAACTTGGCAGATTCAATATTTACTTCTGACAATGTACAAATCACAATTAAACCAGTCTGAAACTAGAATGAACTTGAAGATGACATCTCTTAATCTCGTTTAGTTCTACAACATTTTATGGCTTGGATCTGAATATAAGATTTTTCCATCAGTGTCTTTGATCTTGACTTACTATCCACGATAAAGTTACTTTATCCTGTAAAACTATGTTTAGACCTTCACTTTAAAAATGAACTAATAGATGTCCTAGTCTGTTTCATGATCACTGGGCCAGCTTTTGGGTCAGATTTTATAAATACCGTAAAGCAGGTTAATTGTTCAAGCTACCTATTTTCGCGATTAACTCTAAATAGTTTTAAAAATGATACTTTTAATACTATAAGTATTTATATATCAACATAAAAAAATTTTGATTTATGAAAGGGAAATTGTAAATTGCCAATAAATACCTCAAAACTGTATTGTAAACAATGAATGGCGAGGAATTCAAACATCCAACCAAGATATTGTGTTCGGCATCAAAATAGAGAGAGTGGGGATCTGGAGGACACAGTCCCGGTGTGAGAAGCAAACATATAGAACCTGTCCGTCCTCGGTCAGTAGATGGATACTGGAGAAATTAACAATGCCGATGAAATTATAGCCGTTACACACTGAAATATTTCCAAGAAGATTGGTATAGATTCCACGGGGATGAAGCGTAGTCTGAGAATCGTATACAGTGTAAGAGAATCTATACTGATCTGGTCACCACAACTACTTTACCTCTAAATAAACTTGAATCCAACACACGTTTTCTGTAATATAGCTTCGTATAGGTTTTCTTCACCAACCTTTTGAATTTTAACCCTATCTGATTATTAGCTCACCTGAACCGAAGTCTCTTGAAACTGAGCTTTTTAACTCTTCTGAGCCAAAGGCTCAAAGAGCTAATGCTATGGCCATTTGTGCGGTGTGTGTAAACTTTTTAGAATATGGGCCATAACTCAAGAACCCCTTGTCAAATTTGTCACAGGGTATCCTTGGTCCAAGGGCTCCCTGTGACCCTTAAACAAGGGGAGATAATTAGGAAAATAGAAACAAAAGTACTAGTTGCTAAAAAATCTTCTTCTCAAGAACCACTGGGCAGATTATCACCAAACTTATACAAAAGGATGAGGATATGTTGTAAATTAAAAATTGTTCAAGGCATCACCCTGGGGCAAAGGGCGTGGTCTCAAGGTCACTTCAAAGTTGACCAAAAATTACATTTTATTAAGATGTTGATATTTTACTTACTATAAAGACTAGGATCATCAAATCTTGTCAATTGATGCATCTAAGGACCTCATATCATGTTGACTCAAAAGTAGGTCACAGTGACCTACTTTTTAAATTTTGCAGCCATTCTTTTTCAAAATGATTTAGAGGCATATTTTGAACAATTTAAGGCCTATGATCATCAAACTTTGTCAGTTGATGTATCATATGTCCTTAAAGTACGTCGACTAAAAAGTAGGTCATCTTGACCTACTTTTTGAATTTTATGGCTAATCTTTTTAAAAACAATTAAGGTCATTAATTCGAACAATGAAAGGTTTAGAATCATTAAATCTTGTAAGATGATGCATCTTGGGGCCATAAAACATATTTATTAAAAAGTAGGTCACAGTGACCTACTTTTTGAACTTTGTAGGCATTTGATTTCAAAGCGTTTTAGAGGCATAATTTGGATATTTTAAGGCATATGATCATAAAACTTTGTAAGTTAATGCATCTTGGGTCCTCGAAAAACGTCAACTGAAAGTAGGTCACCGTGACCTACTTTTCAATTTATATGACTATAATTAAATATTTTAGGTACTAATTGACTTAGAATCAGCAAACTTTGTCAGTTGATGCATCTTGAGTCCTTGGAGTACAACAACTGAAAAGTAGGTCACTGTGACCTACTTTTGAAATTTTCTGGCTGTATTTAATATTTTCGGGTACTATTTGGCTTAGAATCATCAAAATTTGTCAGTTGATTCATCTTGGGTCCTCGGAGTAGGTCAACTGAAAAGAAGGTCACCGTGACCTACTTTTCTATAATTAAATATTTCGGGTACTAATTGGCTTAGAATCATCAAACTTTGTCAGTTGATGCATCTTGGGTCCGCAGAGTTAGTCGACTGAAAAGGAGGTCACTGTGGTCTATTTTTGAAATTTTATGGCTTTATTTAAATATATCAGGTACTTATTGGCTTAGAATCATCAAACTTTGTCAGTTGATGCATCTTGGGTCCTCAAAGTATGTCATTTGAAAAGTAGGTCACGGTGACCTACTTTTGAAATTTTATGGTTATAATTTTAAAAATATTTTATGTATCAATTGGTTTAGAATCATCAAACTTAGTTGATGCATCTTGGGTCCTCAGAGAATGACAAGTGATAAGTAGGTCACCATGATCTACTCTCAGGCACTAATTGGTTTAGAATCATCTTGGGTTCTCAGAGTGTTTCATCTAAAATGTAGGTCATGATGACCTACCTTTGGAATTTCAAGGGTTTATCTAAATATACAGGATACTTAGAGGCTTCAAATAGTATAGAAGTGATAGATTGTACAGTTTATCAGAAGAGCGATTCAAGGCCCTTTGGCCTCTTGTTTGATCAAAATTTGTCCGTTGTCTGTCATTGTCGGAAACTTGACATTTTTATCTTCTTCTCCAGAACCACTGGGCCAATTTCAACCAAACTTTCCAAAAAGCATCCTTGGGTGAAGGAAATTTAAGTTTGTTCACAGGAACTGCCACGCCTTCTTTCAGGGAGAGATAATTAAGAATTTTTGAAAATTTGGTGGCATCTTTTAAAAATCTTCTTCTCAAGAACCACTGGGCAAGAAAAGACGAAATCTGTGTAAAAGCTTCATTACAAACTCTAGATTCAAGTTTGTGCATATCATAACCCTCAAGGGTAGGGCGGGGCCAGAAGAAGGGGTCAAATTTTTACATAGGTATATATAGGGAATGTCTTTAAAAATCTACTTTTTGAGAACAACAAAGCCATGATTATTCATATTATTATAGAAGCATCCTCAGTTAGTGTAGATTCAAGTTTGTTCCAATCATGGCCCCTTGGGGTAGGGCAGGGACACAACAGGGGTTCAAAGTTTATCATAGTAATATATAAAAAATATCTTTAAAAATCTTCTTCTCAAGAACAGCTAAGCCATTATTAGTCATGTTAATATAAAAGTGTCCTCAGGTAGTGTAGATTCAAGTTTTTTTTTTCGATTCATGACCCCTGGAGGTTGGGCGCAAACATAACAGGGTGCCAAAGTTTTACATTGGAATATATAGAAAATATCTCTAAAAATTCTGTTCTCAAGAACAGCTGAGCCATTTTTAGTTATATTAATACAGAACTATCCTCAGGTAGTGTAGATCTAAGTTTGTTCAAATCATGACCCCTAGGGGTATAGGACAGGGCCACAACAGTGGGTTAAAGTTTTTCATGGGAATATTTAGGAAATACTTTTAAAAATCTTCTTCTTAAGAACAACTAATCCATAATTAGTCATATATAATATATACAATACATATAGAAACAACCTTAGGCGTTGTAGAATCAAATTTGTTCAAATTATGACCCCCAGGGGTTGGGCTAGGGGCACAACAGAGGGTCAAATTTTTACATAAGAATATATAGGAATCATCTTGAAAAATCTGCCCAAGAACAGCAAAGCCATGATTAGTCATATTATTATAGAAGCATCCTCAGGTAATGTAAATTCATTTATTTAAATCTAGGGTGGGTAGGGTTGGGCCACAATGAGCGATCAGAGTTTTACAAAGGAATACATAGATCAGCAAAGCCATGATTGGTAATATTGATATAGAAGCATCCTGAAGTAGTGTAAATTCAAGTCCTCCCCCACCCCCTGCCGTAAACTTCTCAGTAATGAACTGTTTTCTGCTTTTTTTTCTCTTCTAGCCAATGTGTTCAGGTGAGCGATGTGGCCCATGGGCCTCTTGTTTTATTTTTATCTCGTCGAAGTTGAAATGGTCCACTATGAACTTTTTCATCCCAACTAACAAATCTCCATTGAAATGAGAAGAGAAAATGTATAGTGGTTTCCAGTGAATTGAAAGACTTACAATTGGGTTTGTGAACTACTAATACATACCTCCGTTAACCAATGAGGTGTCGCTTCATGTATCCACGTAAATTAATATGCCATCTCTGGTGACTGCATGGTATCCAAGGTCATTTTTGCTGGTGGACAAAGAAGAATTTCCATAAGACATAACGATATTCCCCAGAAACCTCTAATGGCAAAGGGAGACAAATAGATAAAAAAAAAAAAGACAAATAGAACGAAAACTCTTGAAACATTCAATTACGTTTTTTCTCTTTAACGGAAAACTATATGAAATATAAGAATTTTCCGTTTTGAAGAGGTGTTTAACTCAACTTTATTACATAAATCAAGTTCATTTGCAAAGTTTGATATAACTTGTTCGGTAATTAGGGGTATTTTCAATTCAACCTCTGACATAAAATGAATATATATATAATAAAAGTAAGGAAACACGCAAATGCACAATAAACATTAAACAAAACAGTGTCATCTACTCCTATCCAAATGTGCCAGCTAAAATAAAATTAACCATGAATAACTAATTTGTAGCTTATGCTACATATAGGTCTTTTACCAGGCATGTATTCAATAGTAAAAAATTATGCTTGGAAAAAAGATACGATTGACGCACGCACTCACCCACAAACAAGCACGTCACTATATACCCAAAATCAAAGGATATTAACCAGAAT